GGACCTTGTATTCGATGCTAAGAACGTGTTTAAACATCCATAGACAAAAATTGTCACATTGACAACTAGAAAAATTAATGACTCAATGTCACCAACTTGAACTGGTTCCATAAAATGTTACTAAAAGCTCATTACAACATCGGATGCTGTAAGGAGTTTCATTACAGCACCCGTTTGAGTACTGTTAGAGCTTTCGTTACCGTCGCGAATTACAAAATAGTATATTAAAAAACAAGTTTCGTAAGACACGCTTAAAATGCACGAATTCAAGTTGAAAAACGAGTGCTTTAAGTCTTATGAAACGTGTTTTTATGCTATTTTTTGTAATTCGCGTTTTTATCCTTTTTTATCTCAAAAATAAAATAAATTTTGACAATGTAGGGAAATAGGTATGTAGCAGTTGGTAACACCGGAACGCTTGAAAATAGAAACTTTGAATTGACAATTAGAAACTGTCAAAACACAAAATATATTCACTTGAAGAAAATGTTTGATGTATACCTCCCAAAATAAGAGAAATTGTTCAGAGTCAATGTCCTCATCATTGTGGACCTTGTATTCGATGCTAAGAACGTGTTTAAACATCCATAGACAAAAATTGTCACATTGACAACTAGAAAAATTAATGACCCAATGTCACCAACTTGAACTGGTTCCATAAAATGTTACTAAAATCTCATTACAGCACCCGTTTGAGTGCTATTATAGCTTTCATTACCGTCGCGAATTACAAAAATATATTTTCAGTATGTTTGCTGGGTTTAGCAACCACTATACTGTTGTAAGAAGTCTTACCTTCTGAGTATTTCGAAAAGATTTTCATACAAGTTTTATAAAACTATTATTTATAGAAATTTTTTAATATTAGATTCTTGTAATTTTGTTGCAGTTTATTACATATCAAGGCGTTTGCTAAATATTCATCATCAGGATTATTTTCTGATTTGGTTGTGCACGTTTAAATTATTTAAAAAAAAAATTCAAATTATTGATGCGTCTGGAATTATATACGTTATAGTAATTTTTCTAAGGACAAATTTCCTGTCATGATCTATTACTTATTTAAAGTATATATCTAAGAGATGGTCTTCTTTTATCAACACTGAGTTACTCAACTGTAATTTTGACCATTTCCTGGTAAAGGTAAAATTTACGCACAAAATCTCTACAACTATACTCTGTTTTTAAACTAGGAGGAGTATTTTAAATTTGTCACCAGATTGACCTTGCACGTGATTGGTTGAATGCGAGGAAGGTTCACACACAGGCAATTTTGAATTTGAAGGTTAGGTTATTGACAATTCGACAGTTTCGTGTCATTATTGTAAATTTTGTGTTCTTAAACCCTTCTTTATTATATTTTGAAATAAATACACTCATAACTTCAATGTTAATTTGTATGTTTAGTGTTGACGATAACAAACGAAAATAAATACAATAATAAGTAAATAAATAAATAATAATAATTATTAATTTAAATTTACCGCCAAAATATCTAGTGATATTTTCTGGTGATTTTTCCTAGTGTAAATCTGACTTTCGCGTTTACTCCTCCTGGTTTAAAAACAGAGTATAGT